AGCGCAGTCGGCTGGAATAAACTACTTAATTTTTACATGTTAGAGTTAGCAACAAAATCGGAAATTGTTATATTTCAATAGGACGATGCTTGCAAATTGTTTTTATATTGAATTCATGTGAGCAACAAATTTTGAAGGATTAAACAAGGGAACTTAGAGCGCGCAGCGCACTCGGCCGGAATAAACTACTTAATTTTTACATGTTAGAGTTAGCAACAAAATCGGAAGTTGTTATATTTCAATAGTACGATGCTTGCAGATTGTTTTTATATCAAATTTATGTGAGCAACAAATTTTGAAAGGATCAGACAAGGGAACTTAGAGCGCACAGAGCAGTCGACCGGGATAAACTACTTAATTTTTACATGTTAGAGTTAGCAACAAAATCGGAAATTGTTATATTTCAATAGGACGATGCTTGCAGATTGTTTTTATATCAAATTCATGTGAGCAACAAATTTTGGAAGGATCGGGCAAAGGAACTAATTGTAACGGGCAGGGCATATTATGTAGGTTTTCTACTATTGTTTATATTTATTTTGTGAATAATTAAATCAAAAGTAACATATTTCGTAAGCAACAAATTAGCAACAAATTCTGACGTTATTTTTATGCATAAATTTGTTGTTATATATATGTATATTGTTTTGCTAACTTAATCTTCCTTTAGCAGAACATCATTTAAAAAAAAACTAATAGAGCAACAAATTATTTTCTTTGGCAATTTTTTAGCAACAAATAAGCAACAAATAATTTCATTAGTTAGAATTGATTCTGCTCATTTTGTTCTGCTAACTTATAAGACGTGTGAGGCTGACCGAGCGACGCGTCGTTCGTGATGTAGCGACGGCTCACGGCAGTGGCGTAGCCGCCGCCGCGCGTTGCCAGCCTATCCCCTCCACACGGTCGTATTTGTCGTAAATGCCGTCCACCCGGAATCCCTGGACGAGAGATCCGTCTGTGACACTCTTTTATTTTTTCTCCTCCCCCTCTCGCCCCTCGTCCGCTCTGATCGCCATATGCGCAACGCGGACGGAACTCTAAATTCTCCAAAGGCAAGGCCGCGCGATGAATATAAAAAAAAATAAACAAAAAAAACACTACTAAGGTTCCGATCTCGAGCTCTCGTCGCGCGCGCGAGAGTTTTTCGCCACACGCGAGCCGGAGAGCGAGGGGGGTCGAGGGAAACACACTTCGGATATTCACTCAATTCACCGTCGTCGTCGTCGTCGTCGTTCCGGACGACAGTTCGACGTCGGGACGTTCTCGGCGGGCACGGTCGTCAGGCATCGTTTCCTTTCCCCCTTTCTCGCCCCCTCCCCCCACCCGTCCCGTCCCGTTCCGCCGGCGGGGAATCGTGTCAAACGCTTCGGGGCGTTTCGCGGCTCCTCGCCTCCGATTGCGCGAGGAACGTGATCGAGCGAGGCTGCCCCGCTGCTGTACTGTAACGCGCGCGCGGCGCGCGGGGGCTGCTGTCGGCGCGCTTTTAACAAGGCGAGTCTATTATCTAAGGCGCGCGCGGAAGTGCCAATAACCCCCTTTCCTCCCCTCCCCCCCCTCCTCCCCCCCGAAGGCGCGCACGTCGTCGGCGCGGCGCGCGGCGACGGCTCCGGGCTTCGACGAGCGTTCCGAGCGATCCGAGGCTCCGACAGTCGCGCCAAGTGTACAGGGAAGTCGGGGAGGAGAGCTCGCGATCGCGTCGCGCCGAATTCGCGTGCGTCCGTGATTTTTTTTTCCCCTCTTCCTTCTCTCGCGCTTTCCCTCGCGACTCGCCCCGCGCGCGTACGGTGGCACCGATATACGTATACACGCGTCGCGAAACCGCAAGGTACAACAATGAACAAACTACGAACCGTAGTAGCGGATTCACGGCATTCACGCACGCGACTATACGAGCGATCGCGAGCGGGAGAGAAAGAGGGAACGGGAGGGAAGGAGAGGAGAGGAGAGGGAGGGGGGGAGGGGAAAGACCGATGTGTATATTTACATCGCCACGAGCGTTATTATCCCGCGACGGCGACGTGAACGAGGCGGCGGAGGGAAATCGCGAATACGCGGCGCGGAGGCCGGAAGGGGAGGAGGGGGAGCGGAGAGGAGAAGGAAGGGTTGATGATGATCCTCGCGGCGCTTTTGCGCACGCACCGCCGGCGCGAGATCGCGAAGACTGTGCTGCGTCGAACAGCTGTGGGTATATAGTGTGGGTCTACACTCTCCGCAGGGCTCCCCGCCCCCCTCCCCTCTCGCGACACGCTCTCCGCCTTGCTTTGCTACTCGCGTTCACTGCGTGTGTGTGTATGTGTGTGTGTGTGCGGCCCGAATCTCTTCGCTCGCACGCACGAGGGATATAACGGCGCTATTATGTCACGAGAGCGATCTCTTGTTCTGTCTCACTTTCTCTCTTTCTCTTTTTTCCCCGTCCGTTCAGTAGCAGCAGCAGCAGCAGAACGTCCAACCAACAACGCCTCGTCGGCGCACGCTCGAGCGCGTAGGGAGGGGGGAGGAGGTAACTGGATTTTACTGGATGGATGGAACTCGGCGATCCGATCGGCGCGACGGCGCACCACCCAGGACGCACAGTGCGAGGAGGAGAGCCGCTCCGGTTCGCTCTCATTCACGCCATCCTCTCTTCTCGCTCTCTCGCGTTTAGCACACGGTGTGTGTGCGACGTGCGTGTGCGCGTACGCCACACGCCACGGTGCTCCGCGTCGTCTCGGGGGGGGGAGGGGAGGAGGAGGAGGAGGGAAGGAGGGAGGGCGGAACACAGAAGCACAGGCCGCCGGGCGCGGACGACTCGACTTCACGCACACCACACTCGAGGGGGAAGAGTATAGAGACGTGTGTACCCGCCGCTCTCGTACTCGCTCCCTCGATTATGAGAACCCCTGGTCAGCCGGATGTCCAGCCGCGTGCAGCCAGAGAGAGGAGCCTACGCCGCGCTGATCCCGTCGCGCCGCGTAACAGTTCGCCTCCATTTGCGTCCCGCCTGCCGTTCACGTGACAGACGCGACGACGTTGGGGACCTGGTGCTCGTGACGTTTTGTGGTGGCCGAGGGGTTGAGCTCGACGGCGCGTCCACGGCGACGGCGATGGCGATCTCGCTGCGCGGTCGCGTTTTTCTTCACTCCGCATCACCGTTCTTCGGCCGCATCTCGCCGCCCGCCGAGATCACGAGACGCGACGCGACGCGAGTACACAACTCTTGCGGGGTGTGCGCGCGTCGCGAAGTTAACCTTCGTCGTCGACGACGACGACGACGACGACGACGACGACGACGAAGCCTTTCGGCGATTCGAAAGACGCTTCTTCTTTTCGACGCGCAACTCGTCGCCCGCGCCCGCTACCCGCCGACCCACCGCTATCTCTACACCACTATGCACTCCCCGACCTAACCTAACTTCCGCGCAACCTAGCTTGACGCGGACTTCACGCGTCCGTCAGTCACAAGTGTCGCCAACATCTGCGAAGCAAGATGGATAGATGCAGGATTTCGATTAATATAATTAATTTTTAAACTTATTTTTTGTTTGTATTATATATTTTTTTCTATTATTTTTGACAATTCTTATTATTTTTATTTTTATTTTATTTTATAAATTCGTGATTTTAAGAATTCATTAATTTATGATAGTTTATTTGTATACATATATAACTTGGCGTCGCGCCGCTATCGCATCGCTTGATTTGTGAGATGCGCGTACTTATTTATAAGTATGATATAAAAAAGATAAAATGTGACATTGCGCGTCATGGCAAGTGGATCAACGTGAGAGAGAAAGAGGGGGGGGGGAGAGAAAGAGAGAGAAAAATGGAGCAACCAATCAGAAAATTATTTCAATGAATTTGCAGCGCCAATAAAAGTGACTGTATTGCTTTTTAAATTTTATTTACAAGTCGAAACAATCTTCAATTGACTTATATTACCGTAAACGAGAATGCTATTTTTATTTTATTACATCAGATTGCATATAGATCTCGTGATTAGAATGAACAATGAAATATTCATCGCGCATTATCGTCGATATTTTTATTTAATAGTTATTCGATTAAATAATTAATTGGAGATTAATTCTTAAAAAGTTGCTTACAGAAAAATTCACTGTAAATTTATTATAACATAAATTATTGTATGTTTTATTACATCTTATTGAATATATAAGCACATATATAATTTGTTAATTTAATCTGCTTTTTCATATCGCTCCATTTGCTGCAATAATGACGTAACTTCAAAAACAAAGTTCTCCAGAAAACGAATGTTTTGAATCGCTAAAATTTTGAAATGCAATTTTGACGTAATAACTAAATAATACAGAGAAACAAAAATTTGTTTTTCCCTCTTTTTCTTTATATCTCCGTTCTTTCTTTGTATAAGCAATTAAAAAAAAAAATGACAATTTTTTAGTTGCATCGTTGTGGCAAACGAGCGATATATGGATATATTGAAATATATCCGACAAAAAATTGTTGCCTGACAAATTAATTTATACTGATCAAGTTAATTCGGATTTTGGTTGAAATCATCCCAATTGTCTCATTTATCCTTATCGTATTCCCCGTATTCCTCGTAGTCATATCTTACAGACTCGTAGCTCATAGATTCGGTTTTCGTCTCTTCCTCCTGGCTCTCCCGAGCGCGATGGTCGCGCGACACGATCGACGATAAATTGGCCGCGAGGGTGGTACGCGCGCCAAACGCGCTGTTCGTCCGCAACACCTCGAAGCAACGGTCACGAAAATCGGCGTTTATGCTGTGCCGAATGATATCGCTCAGCGCGTCGCTCAGCACGCGACAGGACCTCGAGTTTTGGTCGGTTTCATTGTCCCTCACGATTTGTTGACTCATATTTGCTTATCGTGTGTTCCGTCAAAACGATCGTCCGAGGTTGCTTCAATCCGGGTCTCCCCCGTGATGCAACTTTAGCCTGGAAACGTCAAATTCGATAGAGAGTAACGGTACCGAGACGTGATATATTATTGTACGTACGGTGACCATATTTTTCTTAGGGAAAATGAAGACAAATCTGAAAATTTTAGGATTTTGTTTCTACATATTTCTAAACTAGTCAGACAGTGTCTAGTCACAGCTGTGGCTGTCAGTCTGCGCATTATATGCGAAATTTTCTTGCACAGTATACCAGAATATTATATACACATACTGCGTATAGTTTTCTGATGGGTTTGAAATTGATTCGATTGGATTGGAACAAACCCTTGATTTTAAGGGTATATGGGGATGAAATAGGGATTCGAAATAATGAAAACGAAAACGGATCTATATATGTACACTGTTAAATCTATTGTGTCAAATTGAACCTTATATTTAAGTTGCCACTGTTCCTACTTAATAAATAATTATTTTTAACTAAAACAATATAGTTACTTTATATAAAACAATAGAATTTAACCCAAGCTTGGGTTAAATTTGAACTGTTTTAAATATTTATTTAAGTTATTTAACGAGTTATTTAACTCCATTATTTTAGTAAAAAATAACTATTTATTAAGTAGGAGCAGTGGCGACTTAATAATAAGATTCAGTTTAACATTATAAATTTAACAGTGCATAATCTAAATAATTTTAATTCGGTAAGTTAAAAAATATAACCAACAGAAACAAATTATATTTGTATATATTTATTTTTTGTATTGTTAAAATAGACAAAATTGAGTTTCGAAAAAATAAATAAATAAACCTAAAGGACAGGTACCTGAAAAGAACTATGTCCTTTATAATAGAGAACGTCACTGTTTAAGTATTATAGTGCTATAAATTATTAAAAACGGCCGGCCAATTTTCGTGACTTTCAAATGGGCCCGTGGATAATTGAAGAACTATGACATTACCAACCATTTTGACTGTACCGCAGATAACAAACGCAATTATTTTACGTGACCATCAATTAATTTTATTATCGACAGTGGAAAGTTTACATATCATTTTTCATTTTTTGCAACGTTTACTGTACGTATATGTACGTATTTTTTTTTTACAATGTTTGCTGTACCGTTTTTAATAATTAACAAGTAATTTAACCTCGTCATTCAGATGTCTTCGAATTGAAGTATCTTTATTAATTCTTGTTCCCCCTTGTGTATCGATATTTGTCATTTTACATATATAGTTATAGTGATATAGTTGCCAAAATGATATAGTTTTACCACACAATTATTATTTCGCTTTTTCATTAAGGTTGAAACTAAATAAAATTACAGTTGAAAACCATTATCTTATTTACGGTGTAATGAATCTATATAGAAGCATATATGCGAATGACTCCACGATGGTTAACGACGCTTCTTAACCCTTGTTTGACACACTGGGGTGTAACACACCCCAGGCTCACTTTTCGTTAATTTGAAGTATGTAACCCTGAGAAAATCGGGTAATTTTTAAAAGTACTCAATTTTATTTTTTGTCCATATCACTCATATAACTTTAAAGAGTAAGTTCTTGAGAAGCTATAAAAAAATTTTGAAGTTAAAATATTTAATAGATTATTTGTTATAACAATTTTTTGTGCTGGGGTGCAATCCACCCCAGTGTGTCAAGCACGTCACGCCAAGAAGTGTGGCAAGTAAGGGTTAATAAAGTTTATCTACACGAAAAGAACAATTTTGCTGAATTCAGATCTGAAAATAATTTTTGTTCAATAGTCAAAATTATATTGTGCAAAAGTCAAAATGATTGCTAGAATATCAAAACGTTTTCTAGCAATACTTATTAGTTTTAACATTCCA